CAGAGTATTTCGGTTTCGTCTTCTGTTCGGACTGTCCTGCTGTGCAGGGGGAGATGAATGACCCTGCGCAGCGGGTGGCAGTGGGCTGGTGGAGCCTCTTCAAACCTGGAAGGAGAGGGCCCATGCTGACTGCACCTTCTGAGGGCAGGACAAGTCCCCGGCAGTCTTTACATGACCTGTATCTGTACTGTTTGATGGACTCTTCTATAATTAACCATTGTCAAGAACACTTCTGAAAATGCCGGCTGGCATTTCAAATAGGAACATCAGATTAAGGAGAAGAGAGGTAATGAGGTGCAAGGAGAAAATCCTTCCCTGGGGAACAAATCAAACCTGATATCATCATGAAGGGTAATGAGAAATGCACTGCCGAACTGAGGAGATTCACCGCAGCTGCCTGGAGGAAGCGAAACCGTGTATTCCTATTTAAAACACCAGAGAGGGGATGCTAATGTTTTGGTCTGCTGGTTGAGTCAGGGGACGTGCAGCTTGCACACCTGCCTTTTGCATGTAATTTTGCCACACGTTTCCTGAGTCCTTGGGCAAGTCATTTCACTTCTCTGTGACATAAGGTACGTCTACATAGATGTATGCAAGTCAGTGCAAATCGGGTGTGCCTGTACACCCACATGGCAGGTTCTGAAGCTATGACTGTATCTAAACTGCTAAGTAGCACAGGGCTAAGTGGCACAGACTAGTCCTTTCCACACTACACAGAACTTGGCCTGTCTCTTTTTTTTTGGTCTCATGTGGTGCCTCTGTGGCCCGAAGGCAACACTGTTTTTTTTTATCTTTTCCCCAGCCCGTAGTCTCTTTAATAATATGAGGCCTCATGGCAAACCATCACAGCAGTATTTTTGTAGCATCAGTCTGAGGATTTGTGTTGCATTTCTCACAAGTGGCAGGGAAGCCTCTGTGTGTGTCTGGAGGAACAAAACCAGTTTTGTTGGTGTGGAGGGTGGAAGGAGCCAGACCTGTACTCTTCTGTCTTTCCTGCCCATGGGAATCCTGTCCCCTGGAGCAGGCATGGGTGTCACTTGGACTGGCAGTGCCAGGCAACGTGCTGACAATTAAACAGTATTGACCACCTGTGATCCTGTAAATCAATTTGTTTTCTGTCCCTGCTTTATTTAGCAATATAAATGAAACCTGTGTGGCCATGTCAGCATGGCTGTATGCCCACATTGATAAATGAGTCAGGGTATATTATTTCACACATGGTGCTACACAGTTGAAGGAGCTGCAGCCACAAGAGCTCATGTCATAGATACAGTGAGTATTAGGTGACTGTCATCATAATTGCCAACCTTACTGAGATACCCGGTAGCTTAATTAAAGTATGTAAGAAGCATTGATATTCTCTACATAGAGGCTACATACATCGTTGCTTGGGACAGTGTTTTCAGCCTTTAGCAATTTGCAGACCACGGGCAAGTATTCCAGGAGAAGCACAGATTACCGATAGCAAACACCTCTTGACTGTGGGTGTGCTTTCCTGTGCTCCTGGCATGTAGTCACAGGACCCTCCGGGATCCAAGAACCACCAGTTAACGAATACAGACACGTGGAGGACAGTGGACATTACAAGGAGAGGGATAGAAGTAGGTGGTGAACGTGAGACCTCTCTTAGTGTGTGTTTTATGAGGCACTAAAAACTGATGTGGTGTTTGATGCCCAAGTACTTGCTCTGTCTTCTCAGGGACAAGGATGCCATTTCACATAGCGGTCTGTGGGAGCAAGGGGAGTAGGGTGTGAGAAAGGAGCAAGCCTGCAGGGCATCCTGAGTGGCAACCAGTGGTCCTGCAGGGCTGGAAGGGCCTGGGGGCATGGGGGCCTCGTGCCAAGAAGGGTAAGATGTTCTTACACTCAGCTGCCATCCTGTTGATGTACGCTCACTGCTGATAGTAATCTTATGTGTCTGCAATCTTGGTCTCATCTGTGTCTACAATCTTGGTCTCATCTGTGTGTCACCTCTCATCCTCTGACAGTTCTTCCCCCCACGCTGCCGCAGGCACCACAAGAGGTTTTGTTGCTCCCCAAGTTATGCGGTGGGGAAGCGTTTTCTCTATGCAGCTCTCTGCCGTTCATTCTAGCTCCTGGGGTAGGATTGGGGGCTGATGCTGTTTGAACTGCCCTCGGGCTCCTTGCTGGGTAGCTCTGTCATTTTTCTACTGAAAGTCTTGCTTGGCATTTTACTTAAATCTTGTGTGGTGTGAGCTGCATGGATATCAGTGTTGTGAGTCAGAGCAAAAGCGTTCAGTATCACAGTGCTCCAGTGGAAGAAAAATATAAAAGGTAACTATTACAGTATCTACAGCATCATTTTTCATATTGAGATTTGCACAAGCTTGTTTGAGTTATTCAGCATAAAAAAAATCCATGATTATAGAGGAGCTGACTCATTAAAACAGACTCTGTTTCTCTAGAGTACCCAGAATAAAACACAGTGCTTTAATACATCTCAATTCACTCGAGTGTGCCCTGTGCTATCAGTTAAACTACATAGAAAATATCTTTCTTCCCTGCAGTGTTCCTGCCAATTCCCTCTTTCCTTAGTGCTTCCCCGACTTGTCTTCTTCCTGTCTGTAATACAGATGTAAAGAGAAATGGCACCTTTTTACTCTGCAGGTTTGCCCCTTGTGTGCATTCTTACCTACCAACAGCAGCAGCTGAAAATATTTCCTGCTTTTTGCCATGGGAGCCACACAAAGTGAAAACAGCTTAAAAAATTGTAAGGCAGAGTGTCTTTCTTTCTCTGCATCAGTGGTGTTTGGTATACATCAGTTTCTGGGCCACCTGAATACCTGTGCAAAGCCGATGCGTGGCAAATCATGGACAGGGTAAGCAGTGAGCACAAGAGTAACTTGGGGAGGATTTGACCCGCAGAAACCTTTACTGAGCGTGCTAACGGGGAGAAGATCAGGTGATTTCTAGGTCCTAGTCCATAGGCGTGACAATTGGCAAATACGTGTTTTTACTTACAAACTGAGGAGATGTGGCATGGTATGTCCAACATGATGTACGTAGTGGTACCATAAAAATGGCATCTCGTTTCAAGTGAGACCATACTTCTGCCCTCGTGCCTCTTTTCCTCTTTGTTTGCCATTTGTCTGTCCTATGAGTCAAAAGTTGACTGCAGTGTGGTAAAACACTCAGACTCCCTTTTATTTCAACCAGTAATGTTCTGTGGTCTGCCCTTTGGCTAATTCTCTCCTCTTACTCCTCTGACCTCTTTGAAAAAAACCACGCTTTTTAACTGTATGGTGCCGGATTTGCAAGACTGATCTTCTCTAAGCGTCTCACACTGTGTTGCCTTGCATATTTTATATCTATGTTCTAATTAAGTCATCAGGTCATGATGGATAGGTGTTCACGTCAGTGACATTTCTGAACGATGAATAGTGGAAGGAAATCTCTGGGAGCCTGGGAAGTGTGTGCAAATGAGTTGGTCTTATGTGAACTTTTAACGTGCTCTTCCAGGCTGAGTTCGAAGTTGATACGTGATTTCAGATGCGGAAAAGCTCTGCTTAGCTCTGGCCCTTCCACTACATGCTCCCACACATCTCCTTGCATGTTGGGCATCATTCCTCAGCCAGATGTACTGAGCCCTGGTGAAGCTAGTTGTAGAAATGCTGTTCAAGGCTAAGTACCGTTCCTGTAAGAAGGAAGAAGCAGCGGACTGAGACGCAGTATTTGCTTTCTTTCCAGACTCGTGTCAGCTGTGTTATAGTCTGCGCTGGCTTTCCACTACCCTTCCTACCCTTCTCTCCTTAAGTGTCTGTCTGCTACAGCAGCAAGTAATGAAAGACTTAACTTTGCATTGTGAAACTAGTAAGTGGGGTGTTCCTGGGTTCAGCGGTCAGTTCCAGGCCAGCCAAGCTCATTTGTTTAGAGGATGTCCTTGCAAGACTTCTCACACTAAACGAACAAGCCTTGCATAAGTAATGGGAATCTGCACACTGGCTGCCTCCGTGCCTGGCAGTCGCTCAGCGTGGCAGCCGGTTTCCTTTGCCTACCTGGCAGCGACGTGAATCAACCCCTGAAACAAGTGGGCAGCCGAGTGTAAATTGTAGCTGGCTACCTGGCATGATGCCCTTCCACATCCGTTCACAGAGTATGAACAAAGCAAGAGAAAGGGCTCAGCTGACCTTGCCCTTTTATCAGGAGATGGTTGGTGGGGTCTTTTGTCAGGTTTTCACCGGCCGGTCAGGTCTGTTTTGGCCATAGGCAGCTTATGCAGCTTGTTTCAATTTTTTAACTGATTTTTGGGTTCCAATCAAATGCAATCTCAGAAGAATCTCGGGGAGCCCCTACATCCCTCCAGAAGGGAAGGCAAGCAGAATGCCTGTGTGTGCCGCTGGAGCAGCAGTGAAGATTAGTGGAGGCCCAGGAAGAAAGTCCTTTGGGAGAAGGGGAACTCGACATCACCAAGAGACAAGCCTTCAAATCTTGATCTTGACAGAAGAGGGCAAATAGCCGCTTTCAGAATATATTGCGTTCAAGGCTCTTTGGTTTTGGGAGGTTGAATGAAGGTTCATGACATCTTACAGTTGTGTCAAGAAGATGCTCTCGCTCTCTAATGCACATTCTTTTTTCTTTTTCTATTTTTGTCTGATGTTGAAGTTCATTTGATTTTCTGATTCCGCCTGCATTTAATTTCCCTGAGTTCAATCTCTGCCTGGATTTAGAGTCATAATCATTAGTATTTGGAAGTGTGGGGTTAACACGATAAAATAAATTTGTTATAAGGTAGGTTTTTATTCCTTCTGGCTTTTCAAGGTCTAATTACGTTGTGGCTGATCTAGTATGTAATTGATAAGATGAAAATGTAAATGTACAGGTTTAGTATTCAAAGTATTTTTTCATCTGATCAAAAAGAGGGAAGCATTTTGCAAAGCACAAAGCTTGCATTTTTGCAAATGTCTGAAGTTATATGGATGTAGTCAAGTCATCAGGAAATCCATGGTGCATCCACTAATGTTTATTTCATTTTTCTACAGGGGGTCTTGACCTTATCTTCATGCCGGGCCTTGGGTTTGACAAAAAAGGCAACAGACTGGGAAGAGGGAAAGGATATTATGATACCTATCTTGAAAGATGTATGAAACATCCCCGTGGAAAGCCTTACACGATTGCCTTGGCTTTTAGGGAACAGATTTGTGAATCAGTGCCTGTGACAGAAAATGATGTCCAAGTAGATGAAATTCTTTATGAAGGCCGCTGAAAGTATCCCGATTCCAACCCACCTTCAGAGTGACCAACCAAAGCCATCAGATCCATCAATCATGGCTTTTTAATAGTCGTATATGACTTTGGGAGCAATAAAATACAGTATTTGTGTTTGAACAAAAAAAACCCCCACAGTGTAAATGTGGTGATAGCGGTGAGGATTACCTTGATTTGCTTCTAATTAGCAAATATCTGATGTGAATTCTTATTCTAGAATCAATAGAACAAAAATGTGTGACTGTTTATTACAGTAAGGACCATTTCTTATCATCATACTTTTGAGGAATGATACTTGATACTTAAGAGTTTTATTATTCCAGTGAACTGTCTACTAATGCGGTTCTTGATCCATTCTGGAATTAGATAGTTGTTACGGTAAAAGTTCTTAGTACTTAAATATTATGCACATCTATAAGCAAAACAAGAAAATGCCAGATAAGTCCTATAGCAAACAGGGTAAAAAATAGTTATTGGAAAATTGATTTCAGTGTATAATTGATTGATTTTAGTGTATACAATAATTTTACTCTTTACTTAGCTCCTTGAAGTTGTGTTAAAGTAAAAGGATTATCTGTTAATAAAAAAGGTTCATGTCCATAGCTTTGGTATACGGTTCTTTCCTTTATCTGAATACAAGATTGTAATGTACTCTAAAATGTGGTCAGTGAGTTCTCCATCTGGAGAAAAACAGCTCTTTTTTCTGTAAAATAATATTAAAAATTACTTTAAGTTCTATAATTTTGTACATGGGCAATTCATGCTGTCCCAAAATATTGTGTGAAATATGGATGCCATGTTAAAGGATAAAGAGATGCTAAGAATTACAGAGAACAGGTTTTATGGATGGAGTAAGTTTTTGGGCGGAAGATTATTTGCTCTCCAGTTCTCCTGACCATCCTGGAAATGAGGAAGGAGATAGTGAATTTTCCTCTGCACACTGTCCTCATTGTAATACGACACAATATTTCCAATCAGGATCAAGCAAACTGTCAAAATTCTGTGTTCCTTCTTCAATGCAACTTCACTTTTTCTACGCGTTTAGCTTCTCCATCAATCAATAAATGATTGCATTTATTTTCACCAAGCTACTCTGTGTCATCATTAAAAATTCCATGAATTCTCAAGGACCAGCTGCAGAGCAGCTTAAGGCTTCCTCAGCGATAACTGGTTTTGTGAACAAAACCATGCCTGCAGTACGTATGAACCTTTTCATCTTAGAATGCTTGTATTCACTTTTATTTCTATTTTGCCAATACAGTAACTAATTAAACCCTCTTGTTCTGGGGTGAACATAAGCTCAGCAACTCAAGTCCATGGCCTGTGCTCCGAGGTGCTTCTCCACCCTATGTTAGCAAAGGTCCATCTGGCTGGGGTGAAGGTACCTTCGGTTTTGACCTGCTGGGCTTCCCGCCAGCGTGTACAGAAGAGCTGCAACCTGAACAAGACATCTGGTAGCAGTTCGCAATATGGGCTAGTTAGTAATCGGTCGGACTTGATGATCTTAAAGGTCTTTTCCAATCTAAATGATTCCATGATTCCGTAAAATGATGGTGATCAGACTCGGCCTTCCGTCGGTTCTTTATCAAACTCTTTCATGCCACTAAATGAAAGATGCAGAGTAAGATGTGTTTGTGTCTCACACGGGGTTGTGCAAGTGGAAGTTGAGATGACAGTATCGGTGCCGCTGCATGTGGCGGAGCATCCTGCAGCTCCTCGCAGCTCTGCCGTGCTGCAGCTCTACTGCCTTACAGGAGGGAGACAGGCTCGTACCATTCCAGACCTTTGGGGAATAAACGTGATGAGAAAATCGGACCCATCCTGGCAGTATCGTAATCCCTTCTTCATTTCTGAACTTCTCTTCACATACGGAGAGCAACAATAAAAAGAAAGATGGGGCAGGCTTTGCGTGTGGCAGACCTATTTCTAGGTTTGTCTGCGAGGCTCTTTGAGTTCACCGGTCACATTAGGCTCAGCACTCTGCCATATGGCACAGCCTGCCACGGACAGCAACAAAGCTGCGCTGAAGCCAGTATTTTTCACAGTAGAAACCTGGATCCCAAATCTGATAGACGTTTTAAACGTATATATTAAGTCCAGCCCTGTTCAACACGCTACCTGCCTCCACCCCACCAAAACCAGTGGGAGCTTCTAGCGGTGTCCTGCCTCCAGGCTTAACCATCGCACTTTACCTGGGATCCTGAGACATCTTTACATGTCTTTGGTTAGTGTGACTGCATGAGTGTTGCTCCAATTCTACTTCAGGCACAAAATTAAGAGGCCATGTCAGTGTAACAGAACATAATCAGAGGCTAATGACCTCTTGCTGCTACATTCAAGCTGAGGGGAAGTCATGATGTTTGGTTTTAAAGCTGAATACTATTTTTTTGAGCAAAAGCCAAAAAGCCGCATCCAGCAAAGCTGCCAGTACGCACCAAGCTTTGTCCTTGTGGGCTCGCTGGAGTTGCTGGAACTAATTGGTATAGGAAAAGCAAGCAAGCTTTGGAGGCTTTCGGGGCTTGAGGCAACGCGTGCCCCCGAACTGCGTATCTCGCAGATCACATTTCAATACATGGTGGAGCCATTCTCTCCCGCTTTCACTCCAAACTGCCCTTTTGGCTACAACTGCAGCGGGAAAGGGTAAGGAAACTATTTAATGTACTGTATCATTGGGAACAAGAGGAGCTGGCGCTTTGTTTCTTGCCAGCCCCTCCTGGGTCAGGAGAAGTGGAGCACAGGCTCATCGGCCAGGCTGGGGGAGCCGCGGGACCCTGGCGGATGCAGATAGCTCTTCACATTTGCCTGGTGGGGATAGTAAAACAATATTTATGTATATTGTCTTGAGAATCACGGAGCTAAATAAATGTGACAGCTTTCATTTGACATCCCCAACCTTGCTGCTGTCGCTCAGGGTTTTTCTTTTTGCCACATAACATGAAATCACTGTCAGTTTGATGGTATATAGCACTGTTTCTGAAGCACAAAGGTTAGGGGGTTGGTAGGTGCGTCAGAATTATTTACGTTTGCTATGCATAAAATGGCACTTGGGGAGCAAGGCAGGCTGCCAAGAAGGAGAGGAATCGGGGCTGTCTGGTTGCTCTCTTGTATCTCTCTCCATACTGGGTTGTCAGGGTAGGATTTATAAAAATTGCTTCAAAACACTATCATCTTTCCTCAACTGGACGTGCCCCCGTCTGTTGCAGCGAATGCCATTATTGCTATGCTCATGACAAAGCGTCTATCAATCTCTACTTTGTTTATAAACAATTCTGCCTGCCCTGCATAAGAAATGGATAGGCTGAGGAAAAATATCATTACCAAAGGAATAAGTTAATTATATTTCAGGATCTCAGCAGGGAATGCTATCTCGGAGTATTCAGTAAGATCTGACCAGTGGAGTTATAATTAAAAAATGTCCCCAGGGAGGAACTTGTAAATTATTTACTGTAAGGGGCTTTTCCAAGCTCTTTTAGTTTAATTACAGACTCTGAAAGAGAAAGGCCTCAGAAACAAATTAACTAAGAGGTTGAAATGGCTTTGTTAAAGTCATGTTCACGGCTAAGCAAGTGGAAGATTGTGAACAAGGTTCAAATATAGGGCAAATCTTTGGAAGTTGCCACTACTCATGGTTTAAATATCAGATGGAAAGCACCTAAATGTCCGTGCATAGAAAATGCAATCACTGGTTTTCTCCAGTATTCCCTGTGGCCTCGGAAGATGTTGCACGTAGTCCATGGGCTCAGATCTGACAGTGCCTCGTGTCCTTGCAGCCATTTGCTTCATGGGGAGAGGAACTGACTTTTGCGGGCTTTTTGATGGGGTACAGATGAAGTCCTAGCAGAGGGGGATGAAAGATTAGAGGTGATGGAGAGGCAGAACAAGAAGATGCTGGGACGGCGTGAATTTTCCATCTCTCTCACACCACCTCTGGCATTTTAGCTCAAAACAGGCTGGTTAACCCTCAGCGGCAGGTGGGCTGAACGTGGCCCTTGGTGCCAAGAGACAGGTACCAGTGCTATCAGCGGTCGTGTCCTTTTCAAATGCATGGGTGAAACCTGACTTGTGTGCCCTCCCATGTCAAACATGGCTTGAGCATTTGTTAGCGGAGTTGGCCCCGGCAGCTGGCCTTTGCTGGAAGACAGTGTTGTAAAATCACCAGATTTTGGTTCTTTCTGCTGATTTACGGTAACAACAGCTGGCGTGATCCCTGGTCAGATGTGGAGAATGGAAGTCAAGAGGCCAAAGCAATCCTCTCATCTCAACAACTGACTCATTGCTTGGCAGAGAGGGAGGCATTATCTAATATCAGTTTGCTAAGGAATAAGGCAGCCAGTAATACTATATCTGCCTGCCTGTCCATGCCAAATTTTATGTATGTAATGGCCTGTCAGCTGCCGTTGTCCTTGCCTTTATTTCTTTCTGAAAAAACCCACATCTGCTGTGGCACCCTGACCGAAGAGCCAACTGGCTGAGCAAAGCAGCCAGCCAGGCACGGCTGCCGGGGCATACGTGCTTGTTAGCCTGTATACATTCATATAGCATTTCTCTTTTCCTTTTTCTTTCAAATCGATTGCATTTACATGTCTTGCTTAGACAGGAACTGCCCCAGAGTTAACAGTCTCTCTACCCTCTGCGTGTGTACAGTCTTCAACACATGGCATTTGGTTATAGCCTGAGGGTACCGAGTCCTAAACAATGCGTTCTCCACCTTCAGGCAAACTAGCTGAAAATCCGCAGATGAAAGCTGCTTTAGTCATTCATCAAGCAGATGAGATCTCTGCTTTTATTTTGTTATAGTGTAAATCTGCTGCTTAGTTTTCTAGTCTCTCTGAAAACTACTGAATCATAAAAATGCTTGTAGCAAATCCCAGCTTGTCTGTCACCAGAATAATACATTAAATGGCTTATCAGCTCCAAGAGAAGACTACAATACTTTTGAGATGATTTGGATATATAGTTAGGGAACAAAATATGTTGACAGCTTTAGAATTGTCTTGATCAGTAGATTTTATTTTGTATTGTACTATAGCGTATCCAGCAGTACTTTGGGAGGAAAGGGATGTCCCTAAATTTCTGCAAATGTATCTTACTGATGGGGAAAACCACAGCAGAAGAGTAGAGTAGAACATAAATGCAAAATGAAGGACTGTTCTTTAAAGGGCAGAACTATAAGGTCTGAATAGTTTCAGCAGAAGTATTGCCATTTAATTATTAGGAGTGGTGAGTCCATATTAACCTTTATGGAAAAGTACTATAGGCTATAATAAAGCTGAATACTTTTCTATAGCCTTTTGTTATCACCTTGTCAAATTTAATAAAAATTC